AGTTCATGTAAAACCTAACGCCTTCGCTTAATCGTGTTTCTTCATCAAGAGAGGAAAAAGTTCATATTAAATGCAATGATGTTAATTTGGCGTGTTAGTGGTTAACTCTTTAAGCTCAGCTGGCAGAGCATTGGCATGGCATGCATTGGGTTTAACTCTATAGCTCAGTTGGCAGAGCACTGGTCTGGTATACATTGGGTTTAAGTCTTCAGCTCAGTTGGCAGAGCACTGGCATGGCATGCATTGGGTTTAACTCTATAGCTCAGTTGGCAGAGCACTGGTCTAACATACATTGGGTTTAAGTCTTCAGCTCAGTTGGCAGAGCACTGGTCTGGCATGCATTGGGTTTAAGTCTTCAGCTCAGTTGGCAGAGCACTGGTCTGGCATGCATTGGGTTTAAGTCTTCAGCTCAGTTGGCAGAGCACTGTCCTGGTATGTAAGAGGTCCCGCACTTAACCCTGATTGCGACAGATACAAAACTTGGATTATAATGTAAGTTCTGCTTGGATGGGTATGTAACACTTGTTCAACATATGATAAAAACATTTATAAAACATTGCCATACATGACCCGTGATTGTGAAGGAAAATGTTTAAAGGAAACAAGGGTCAAAGTCAATATACATATTGCTGTTAATCTTTTGTCTCTTGTTAGTATAGCAGCAATTAGTGTCCCAATCAAGCTACACCCAACACAAATTTTCCAGGAGAAGATAAGTTTCCCAGTCAAGAACCTTTCTGGCATCATTGAGCACCTTCAAGTTGTGGAAGAATACCTTACTATGCAACAACACAGAGACAACAGCCCACTCACCAAAGATGAAAAGAAGCAGAGGAAGAATGCCTAAAAACAGGACAGCAAAGTAATCAACCCACTTAGTTTACCAATTACCACAAATCTGGTTTAGCATGCAGTCTTCAATAATTTCAAAGGTACATGATCAGCAGTGTTCTTATACAGTTGACTAATTCTAAGCAAACTGCACAAATTTTGGTCTAAATGGACATGGGAATCGATCCCTACTATTAAATCTCTCTCTAGTTTTAAATCGAACATTTATCGATTTGGGAAACCTTGCAGTCTTAAAGAAGAAACTGATCATAATACAGAGGGGGGGGGGGGAGATGATGAGCGGAAAAGAAAGAGGGCCAAATGATAATAGAAGATAAAAATGGGGAAAATGTAAAGTTTAAGAAACCTATTTGAATGGCCTAAGATGTACAAGGCATTATTTGTTGCATATAATTCATATAAACTTAAAGCCTCATAATACAATAACTATGTTAAACATGAGTTTCTGTTGAAAATAATATGATGATAGGAGACACCGAGTTTTACAATGTTGACTACTGAGCATGATAATATATACAGAAAATACTTCTCAATTATCACAATATCATCATGAATAAAACCTTTTCAGGTGTTAAAATGTATAAAATATAAACAAAAAACAGATAATTTTATTGCTGACAGGTGTTTATGTGAATATAGAAATTAAGTAGTATTTGACAAATTTGACTTAAAATAACTATTTCTTGCTTTTCACTGAACAAGAACATTACAGACTCTCTGAAGTCATCTCACTACACATATGTTCAGTAAACAAGAACGTTACTCACTTAAGTCATCTCACTATATATATGTTTAGTGAACAAGAACGTTACTTACAGCTTCATTTAAGACGTGACAGTTTACAGCTTTCCTGAACAAGAATGTTACTTAGAGTCGCTCTTAAGATGTTGAACTAATCGTAGCTTTACTGAACAGGATTGTTATTCTCAGACTAATCGTAGCTTTACTGAACAATAATGTTACTTAGAGTCGCTCTTAAGATGTTGAACTACTCGTAGCTTTATTGAACCAGAAAGTTACTGTTCAAGATGTCTGACTAAGTTTAGCTTTACTGAACAAGAATATTACACTCAGAATATTTTATGATGTCACTCTCGACTGCCTTTAGATTCCCAGCTCCTCGTGGCTTTAGTGAAGAATTTTACTCTTATTGTATAAGATATCTGACTGCCCATAGCTTTACTGAGCAAAAATGTTATTCTTACACTCTCTTTGTATGTTTGATTATGTAAAATCCTTCTTGTTGCAGTTTTATAAGATGTGTGCTGACTACTCAGGCCTACTGAACAAAAATATTACTTTCATGCTGTCTTAGGTTGTTTGAATACTTGTGGCTTTACTGAATAGAAGTGTTATTCTCAGACTAATCGTAGCTTTACTGAACAGGATTGTTATTCTCAGACTAATCGTAGCTTTACTGAACAAGATTGTTATTCTCAGACTAATCGTAGCTTTACTGAACAAGATTGTTACTCTTAAAATAGCTACTTATAGCTTTACTAAAGAATTTTTCTCTGAGACCATCTTAAGATGTGAAGCTACTCGTGGCTTTATTGAACAATGTTATTCTCCCTGTTTCAAGATGTCTACCTCCTCATATCTTTACTGAATAAAAATGTTACTCTCAAACTATCTTATGATTTCTACCTACTTAGAGCTTTACTAAACAAGAATTTTACTCTCAGACTGTCTTTATATGTAAAGCTACTCATGGCTTTATTGAACAAGAACATTACTCTCAGACTGTTTAAAGAAGTCTGACTAGTAATAGCTTTCCTGAACAAGAATGTTACTCTCAGATTGTCGTCAGATGTGAAGCTACTCATGACTTTACTGAACAAGAACATTACTCTTAAGATTGTTTTAAGATGTCACTTCTCGTACAATTTTACTGAAAAAGAATGTTACTCTCAGACTCTTTTAAGATGTCTGAAAAATCATAGCTTTTCTGAACTAGAGCACTAAAGAATGTCTAAAATCATCATTAAATAAAAATTACATAGAATCACACAATACCAGTCATTTTTAAAATAATGTGCTACAACTGTCCAGAATTGTACATCGAAGAAACGGGAAGAAAATTGGAAACCAGATTCACCAAACATAATAAAAAACCCTCCCACGTTTACCACCACTGCAACTCCAAAAATCACAGTATATCCATACAAAATACTGTAATTTTAAACAAAGATTCAAACATCAACAAATGCAAAATAATAGAAGCTATTTTATTTGAACAAAACAACCATACTCTAAACCAACACCCTGAGGTAACAAGATACCTTTACTTAGCTGTCAAGCAATCTCCAGTCATAGATCTCTTTGTTCCATACTGTATATATATATATATATATTCATGTGTCTGTGTAAACTACTTGTCCCTAATGATGACATAACCTTGTCAAATTGTTGTATATTATAATAAAGTTTTCTTAATTTCTTCCAAACTTTTAATGTCTAAGGACGTCTAGCTACTGTAGATTCACTGAACAAAAATGTTCCCCTCGAATGTTTAAAAATCTGACTAATCATATCTTTACTGAACAAGAATGTTAGTCTCAAATGTCTTAAAACAAGACTACTCATAGCTTTACTAAACAAAAATTATTCTGACAGTGTCTTCAGATTTCTGACTATTCACAGATTAATCACAAAATTTATTCTCAAATTGTCTTTATGTCTGACTAATCATAGCTTTACTGAACAAAATTGTTATTGTCCCTGTTTTAAGATGTCTGACAATTCAGACTTACTAAACAAGAATGTTACTCTCATACTGTCTTAAGATTTCTAGCCAGTTGTAGCTTTACAGAACAAGATTGTTACTCTCAAGATGTCTTAAGATTTCTAGCCACTTGTAGCTTTACAGAACAAGATTGTTACTCTCAGGATGTCTTAAGACGTCTGAATAATCTTAACTTTGCTTAACAGGAATATTACCTTTAGACTTTTTTTTTTTTATGATGTCTGACTATCTATAGCTTTAATGAACAGGAATTGTCCTCTCAGCATGTTTTAAGATGTCTGACAATTCAGACTTACTAAACAAGAATGTTACTCTCATACTGTCTTAAGATTTCTAGCCACTTGTAGCTTTACAGAACAAGATTGTTACTCTTAAGATGTCTGAATAACCTTAACTTTGCTTAACAGGAATATTACATTTAGACTTTTGTTTTTTATGATGTCTGACTATCTATAGCTTTAATGAACAGGAATTGTCCTCTCAGCATGTTTTAAGATGTCTGACTAATTACAACTCTACTGAACAAGAATATTACTCTCAAAATATTTTACAACTTATGAGTACTCATAGCAATTCAAAACAAAAAATATTATTCTCAGACTCTTTAGATCTTACTTCCAGACCATCACTAAAGCTATGATTAATCAGACATCTGAAATTGTGAGAGTTACATTCTTTTTCAGTATAGCTATGATTAGTCAGACATCTTAAGACAAAAAATATCACTCTTGCTGTTTTAAGATTTGTGACTGCTCATAGCTTTTAGACAACAGAGAATGTTATTCTTTGACTTCAGGTTTCTAGACTTCTTCTAAAATATTCTTTTTCTGAGTCAATTAGTTTTCCAGAAATTGCTTAATCTCAAACTCGAAGTTCAAGGGAGGTCCAATTCAATCTACACTTTGAACAATGTGTGTTATTGGGTTATACTACTTTCAAGATTAAAAATTTTCAGAATACTAAGTTTATTTATTTTATCTGCTATTGTGTAGCTGTGAAGAGCTGAAGAGTGGCCAATGACACGTTTTCTTCACTCCACCTATCCAGTGTATAGGTTTTTCTCATAGTGACTATAAAGAACATTCAAACAGTGTGTTTGATACTAAGACTTTTGATAACCTGTAGATGATGCAGTATGAATTTTACAATACAATTTAGGTTTCATAGAACATTCTGCTTCCATACGAATATTTTTTCCACTCGACAATGAGATCATTCCTTACTGAAGAAAAGTATTACTTTGACTGAAATTGAAAACAAAAACAATTTCTTTGATTTCTGATTAACAAGAACATGTTGTAAGTCAAATATGTAAAAATTCACAAAGCTTTGTATATTCAGAGATCTTACATTTATATATAATCTGTGTAAGTTAGATCTCATGAAATAAGGGATCAAGGACTTCCCAAAACAACACTTTATTGGCTCTGGAAATGTTTTCCAATAAAATGCTGCACAAAGTGAAGCACAGCCTGAGTGCATAAAAGCCGGGAACAAATTCAACATGAACATTACATTAAATGATATTTTTTTTCCAAACTGGATAGTATTTATAAAAACAGCTTATTTACATGCTGAAAAGTGAATATAAACTACACGATATATCCATTACAAAGCTTGTAACCACAACTCAATATACAGTAAGAAAGCATAGTTTCTGCAAATCTACCAAAATCAAATTAAAATGAAAGCCAACTACTGTTGTGAAACATAAAGTATTCATACATATGTCTTACATTTTACTAATTCATGCACTGTTTTCTATTTGTTAAGCAAATAATTGTTTTTATCTTTTCTTCTCACACATATAAATGCTGAATTATGAGTGTTGAAATTAAACTATGAAACAAACCATTTGAATATGACTTTTTTTTAATACAGTCCTGGCTGTCCACATAAAAAACATTAAAAAAGTTTTTTAAAACTGAAAAAAAAGTTAACAAACTTTAAAATTCAAGCTTTTCTTTTAAATGACAATTTTTACAACTGGAAGAAAGAAAATGAGTTACTTTATTTCTAAAGAAGTTCATAATTATTTCCTTTCATTTCTCCTCCTAAAAGCACACAACATATTAATACATCACATATTTTCCCCTGATTAATTGACAAGACAATTATGGTTCAACAAATGAGAACATAATATTCAAGATCCTAGAAAACAGAAAACATAGACAAATGAAAACCTAGCATGTATGAATGTATTAAAAACTGTCCATGAAGAAGTCCCACAATGTCGCTTGAATCAATGTAGCACTATGAAGATAAACCCGTCAATTCAGGCAGTGCTACACTTTGAAGATTAGCAGCTATATTAAAAATTAACAGTTTTCAACATGTCTTTCTTCTTTTTTCCATATGATGTGCAGCAGTCAGGAGCGGGAAAATACCTCCACTAGGTAAACAACCACATCCACTGACTTGTGTATGTACTTACTGTTGCATCACAGAAAAGGTGACAGTCTGATGATTCTAACTGATACAAGGACTGTTGCATGTGATGACTTTACATGGCCATTAAGCAATCTGAAAAACAGAATACTTTACCGGCGTGGCTTTCTTCCTCGTCCTCTTCCCTGTTAACGGATGGAAAAGAAAAAAAAAAAACAAGACAAGAGGTTCAGTGCTTTCTATTGGTTACATTCAAATGGATGAAAATAAATTTACTTGTGGAATTTCTTTACAGATAACATTTTCTATAAGAATGTGAGTAAGAATATTATTTACATGATGTCAGCAAATAGTTACTTTTTATACAAGTAATACAAATAAACCAAAGTTTAACACACTGGACAATTCTAGTATTATGAAACGTAGTATCTGGTTTTAATAATGAAAATTAATGCTAAGTCATGTAGGCACTATTTAGGCCCAACATTAATTTGTCACAACAGACAAAAGAATATTATGTACTTAAATGGTTAAGGAATGATAATATCTGGTTCTGGTGTTTTTCATAACTTAGTGTCCAGAGCTTCATTGTTCAGAAGTTGAATACCCCTGGTTTACGATCAAGTCTAGTGATAACAGTTGGCTTATTGAAGTAAGTATAGTAGCACATTTCAATGTAATCACTCAGTAATTTGCTTAGTTTATTAAACAGAAAATGGCATGTAACCAAACAACATTTATCAAAAACTTAAGGTCAGGTAGTAAGGTACCCTAATATGTAACCAAACAACATTTATAAACAACCTAAGGTCAGGTAGTAAGGTGCCCTAACATGTAACCAAACAACATTTATCAACAACCTAAGGTCAGGTAGTAAGGTGCCCTAACATGTAACCAAACGACATTTATCAACAACCTAAGGTCGGGTAGTAAGGTGCTCTAACATGTAACCAAACAACATTTATCAACAACCTAAGGTCGGGTAGTAAGGTGCCCTAACATGTAACCAAACAACACTGATCTACTACCTTCGGTCGGGTAGTAATGTGCCCTAACATGTAACCAAACAACGTTTATCAACAACCTAAGATCGGGTAGTAAGGTGCCCTAACATGTAACCAAACAACACTGATCTACTACCTTAGGTCGGGTAGTAATGTGCCCTAACATGTAACCAAAAAACATTGATCTACAGACCAGGGTCTGGTAGTAAGGTGCCCTAATATGTAACCAAACAACATTTATCAACAACCTACAGTAAGGTAGAAAGGTGCCCTAATATATCTAGGTCCAGAGGTTCACTACTGACACAATGCAAGTATTGCTATCATTACAAAAAATAAAAACAGCTAAGAGTACTTGTGTACCATAAAAATTACAACTTTGTCTTATGACTCAAGTCATTCCTGGATTACTACAGTAGCCCAAGTGGAAGATTAGATAATTAATCAAACCCAGGATGAACAGTGTGAGATAACGTTCTCAAGCAACTAAGAAGAAATAAAACCACAAAACACTTACTCAAGTCTTCACAGAAAAAAACTCAACTGATGTGTGGTAAATAACAAAGTAACTGAGATAGTACACTAGGGAACAGCAATTATAACAAGAAAATCAAGACTGACACACACACACAAAACGTTTATTGAGAGTAACCAAAATAAAAGGCTAAATCTGACTGGACTAGTATTATCAGCATATAAGATTTAAGGTATGTAACTAACCACACCAGGTTGTCTCATTACTGAGGATTTACAGATCATACAAAGTTAACCATTAAACAGGAACTGAAAGTGGAGAGATCAACAAAAACTACTAGAAGATCCACAATTTAGTGTTTAGCCAGGAGAAAAGCTGGGAGGTAACGACAGAGATAAGTTGTCATATTTGTAATTTTCACTCTATTTTCAATACCTTATTCTTTACTTACAATTTTACATTAAGATAAATAATTTTATATTTTATTTAGTCATCTTTTTTTCTTTAAATCTTGCTTTGTTTCAGCTATCTCCTCTTTATTTATTGTGAACCAGTTTCTTCTGTTTTAGTACTCTTGCAATACCTTAATCTTTTATAGATTCTCCCTAGGCCAGAAAATGTCATAGTTACTTTTACACATTAATACATCATTCTACTTCAGGTCCTGATCAGAAGTGCATGGCTAAAACATCAATCACAAATTTCACTTTTACATACTAAGAATTTAAACAATCTCTTTGTAGACTTGGATAACTTAGTTTAAAAACAAAACTATTTATTATATGCTTTAGAAACTGCTATTATCACTAGCATTGATCAACACTAAGTTCGTGAAACACAGAAAAAAAAGTTAACAAATAATAAGGTGTAAAAATAAGCAACCAAATAAGCAATATTTTTATATTGAACAATAAATACACTCTACAAGTCATAACACACCAAATAAAGAAATAGAACATGGAAATGTATCGTATTTGGGAAGAAGAAAGAATGTATTACAGTCTCAACAAAAATGCTAATAAAATATATGATGGGAAAAAAAATTTAACAATATATATATATATTTTTAATTCTTATAGCTTACCCTAGATGAAGAGGCTGACAAGGACGAAGTACAGATAATTTTAACTAGTGCTGAAGATGAGGGAGGCCGGCCACGGCCCCGCTTGATTGGGGATCCTGTATCTGTCCCTTCCTGACTACTGTTACCCGGGCTCTTCCTGTTAATATTTAATTGTATCGAAACATTCAGTGTGAAAGAGCTTACTGTGATACCATGATGATTGTTGAACATAAAGTATTTCCACATTCATCGTTTTCTTACAACTTGACCCAAATGTTGAAACTTTGAAGGAAATTCTCAAACTGCTATTGAGTATTGTTAACTGAAATTGTTGCTTCAATCTCAACATTATTCTAAAAATTTTTGTAATCACAGTAAAGTTGCTCCTGTAAATTATTATTACACAAGGCCAAACCTATTAAGTATGAGCATTTCAGTTTCTGTGATTATGTATAAACAGTCATGTGTAGATTAGCCTACAGATATGTACTGAATTTCTAAAGTTGTGTATGAATACTCATGTATAGATTAGCCTACAGATATATACTGAATTTCTGGAGTTGTGTATGAATACTCATGTATAGCTTAGCCTACAGATATGTACTGAATTTCTGGAGTTGTGTATGAATACTCATGCATAGATTAGCCTAAAGATATGTATTGAATTTCTGTGGTTATGTATAAACAGTCATGTGTGGATTAGCCTACAGATATGTACTGAATTTCTGGAGTTGTGTATGAATACTCATGTATAGATTAGCCTACAGATATGTACTGAATTTCTGGAGTTGTGTATGAATACTCATGTATAGATTAGCCTACAGATATGTACTGAATTTCTGGAGTTGTGTATGAATACTCATGCATAGATTAGCCTAAAGATATGTATTGAATTTCTGTGGTTATGTATAAACAGTCATGTGTGGATTAGCTCTACATGCCTAAAGAAGTGTATTGAATTTTTGGGTTTATGTAAAGCTATTGAAGATTGATTTTCACCCATAAAAAAGTGCAATTGGTTTATGAGAGAGAAAAAGTACTCTAGATAATGTCTTCACAGTGAATCAAGTAAACTCATTACCCAAAATGTTTACTGACTTAAAAAGGAATACATATGTATAAATAATCTGGTGAAAAAAGGTCATTACTGTGGTTCAGATGAATAAAATAAACAGGCTTTAACCCAAATCGATTCATCAACTATGCCTGTTGGTGGTCACTCTCATTCAGTCCAGCGCAGGTGCATTCCAACATTACAGTAGAAATGGTAGTAAGAAGGCTTTTCGGTATTTGAATATCATTTCTTTGAACTTTCAAACAAGTTTATTTCAACATATGTCCATGTATGTTGTCTCACTATACAGACAAAACTAATTGCCACTACTAGCAAATGTATGTAACAGTTTACAGTACAGATGGTTTAAATAACACTGCCTGACCCTAGTTACTTGATACATCTTGTTAGAAGACATTACCAAATGATACAGACAACATAAATTACAAAGAAAATTACTTTACAGCACTTAAGAGATTAGTCCTGGTTACATTCCTCTCATTATAGGCAAGATTTATGTTGGAATTTGAAACTTAAGCTCTTCAGTGTATTGAGACCCCTACTGTGAGAATGTCATAGCTTCTCCTGTATTATTGAGACAGATGTGTTTAGTCTGTTTCACAACCAACATATGGGTTTTATTGTTGTCATTTGTACACTGAGTTTTAAACCATTTGCAAAATATCACAATAAACGTTATATATATATATATATATCAATTAGACTGTTTTAATTCCAAAGCAACAACGACAGAAGTGTGGGTCTTACTACAAAGTAAAGATTGTAAGAAAGAAAAATATAAAATTCTTATGTGGTACTGGTACTAGTAGTATTACTTACAAATCACACAAGTTTATGATTCTAAATACTGAATCATTTTATTATTATGAACTAAATATAAAATTACACTAAATTATTGAACTTAAAATTACAAATTTACATGCAAAAGAATATAAAAAATCACAAACTCTTTCAGTTCAAAGTGCTAAGCCTAATTCATGTAAAGACCTTGCACTCGCCACTTGATAGCTCTTAACCCTAACAATCGTGGATCAACTTCTTTCCTAAAACATATATCTATTTTGAGTTAATTTAAATAAATATACGATGCGGCATGACTTAAGCTTATATAGAAAAATAATAAAAGTCACGTACATCCCATGCAGTTTTTTCCAGAAGCAAGTTTTCTAATGCTCATAGAAAAGTACTATTGGACAATACTAAATACAACCTC